CAGTTTAAAATATATGAACTTCATATATTCATTGTATCTGATTTATCATCACGGGTTTATTACGAATCAACTTAACAGCCTGCTCCCAGTTGGCTTGTTAGCTCAATTAGTAGAGCGCTGCATTAGTATGGCAGAGGTCACTGATTCGAATCCCGTACAGGCCTGATTTTTTCAGGTCTGATTTTCGCTATTGCATAAATAGCGCTCTCTACTGCGAGGATCGTGCATCATACGTAAGTACAAATGTCGTCAACACATCGCATATATTATCGTTCTTCTTCGGAATGTAAGGGAAAATAGCACACACGAACATCACGAAAGCCATTAGACGGTCAACCTGTATTAAACGGTTAACCTGTGCTAAACGGTCATCCCGCCACTCCCCATTGCATCGGCTGAGAATTTTTCTCGTGTAGTGCCATTTCTGAAGACTGGAAAACTGTTCACTGGGTTTACCTGCTCAAGAACCGATATACTTTTGACCAATCACAGCGCACCTAGTGTCCAAGTTATGTTATCACATGCAGTACAAATCTCGATAGGAGGAAAATAGCGTAACTTATCATTTTCTCACCTTGGATTGTCGTTTTCCTTTTTCCTTATAAAAGTAAAACCCAATTCCATCGGAATAGCGCAATCTATATGTCGTCACCCATCGATTAGCATCCTCCCTTCCTTGTGTCGCTATACCAGTTACCCAAGTGTTTTTGCTATGAAGGTCAACCTGAAGCCATGGTTCTTCCTGCTTCCAGTCGGCTCTCCAGGCTCCCTTCGATCCTTTTTTTGCTTTGAAGTGCAGTCTCCCGTGATTAGGTTTGAGCCGACGGTTACGATAGGAAGATGCAGTGATCTGCTGATCTTTGATTGCACCGCTCTCCATACCTAGAGGTCCGTGGCACACTGTGACGCATGAAGGATGGAGATTTCATTGAAAAATACAAAGAGCCCTAAGTTATCAGCGAACATTCAATGAATAAATGGGTTGTGGAATTCTCAAATAGACATTAACAGAACCTTCGTGCCACAGTCATGCCCAGAAAATTACCAGGGACAACTGCAGTAGAAACTGCAAGAACTTTTGTTACAAATTCGGCTATTCTCGTAAGGCCGGATTCGGTAAACATGGATGTACAAGCGACTTAAGGTTAATGTCAACAAAACGTAAAAAACCTTATCCTTGAATCGGAGAGTGCTCTACAATCATGGAGCTTTGTAAACAGTTATATAGGAAAATAAAAATTAAAACTTCAGAAGTAAAACTTCGCACTACAGATCTGTTGCGAAAGGGTTAAAAGTCCTCTCTCATTAGATGCATAAGATACTAGTTGACTAACGATCCTTTCTTAAGTAGGTGGTTTAAGCATGTCATATCAAATATTTAGCTGAGTGCCGGCACGCACTCGCCAGTTCGTTCCTTTGTTTAGGGTGCCCGCCCCTGTTCTGCATATGATAAAGAATTTTTCAGCTATGCAAAGATTGCATCTCTTTGAAGTATTTGAGTACGGCCTGGCGCGAGCTATTATTTTCCAGGTCACAGAAAACTCCGTTTCAGCATCCTTTAGGGATCAGATATATTTGCTCAACTCTGTTGCGTTCCTTTTGTTTTCATGTCTAAATGAAGCTGTATGATTTCTAGACCTTGTTTTAAATTGGTTCGCAGTAAGGCCCACGTACGTTTTGGTTCCCAAGGGACTTTCAACTGTGGCCTGGTAGACCACGTTTTGAATTAGGCAATTGCCACGTAGTGGGAGAGAGTGTTTGTCTCTACAATTGCATGATTTTTCTTGTGATTGAGAATTATTTGCGAGGAAGGACTTGTTGTGGGCGTCGATTTTTCTTTCTAAATTTGGCATGCATGAATAGCTTACTTTCAAATTGTTCTTACTAAATTTTTTTCTTAGCGGGTGCCCTGGTGAAAAGGATTCTTTTACGATGCCTAAATTTTTTCCCACGTTAGTAACAACGCTCTTACAAAAAGGTGGGTTATACCAAGTTATATTTCGGTGTCTTCTTCTCCCTTCTGTGCACCTCTGGTCTTTAGTTGTTGTGTCAAATTTTAATTGACGATTATAGCCACTTGCTTCAAACGCTTGCTGATGCATGGGTGCTGCTTTGTCGAAGGATACCCTGTCAGCTAAATATTTGATAAGACATGCTCAAACCACCTACTTAAAAAAGGATCGTTAGTCAACTAGTATTTTAAGCACCTGATGAGAGAGGACTTATAACCCTTTCAAAACAGATCTGTAGTGCGAAGTTTTAGTGCGAAGTTTTAATTTTTATTTTCCCATATAACTATTTATATATATATATCTATATATTTATAATTAATCAGTTTCTGAGAATCAGGGAAGAACGTACACGTTTTTTATGGCGTCAAAAAGGAACAATCAGACAGAAAAGAACGTAAATCGGATGAGAGAATCAACTAGAGAATGAAGAATGAATGAATGAATGAATGAATG